GCAGAAGCAGAGGATAGGTCAGCTTTCTCCTTCAGCAAATATTTCCCATGATGGTCTGCAGTTTAGATGTGAGTTTACAAATAGAACTGTAGAGGACCTATGAAAAGCTGTATGTTAGAACTCTGGTATAGAATAGGGACATGGCAGCATTTATCTGCTCAATATAATTATGCTCTGGACAAGCTGCCACATCTGTGGCTGAACTGGAGATCTGCAGACAAGGAGTCTGATGGTAATAGTGAGAGAGCATAATGACAGTCCTGCTTTGGCTGCTACTGTTTGTTTGCAAAGATGAGGACTTCTTTTTATTAGATGAGGCCCACACTTCTGCTGTAAAAATAAGCAGAAATATTTTCACTCAGTTTTCAAAACAGACGATCATGTTTCTCAGTGGTCTATGCTGGCCAGCTCCCAGGTGGATTTCTGCTTGAGGTAATTTCCCAGTGTAATTTAATCTCCTTATCTATCTCTCAGTCTTTTCCTCCTCCAGGAGCAAAAAAAAAACAAAAATCAGAGATTTTATGTTAGACTCTGGCTTTGCTGCATTCCCTTTTCCAAATCATTAGTTGGTCAAGGACGGGACCAAGCAAGTGGAGGTTATCATTTTGAACATGTCTGGTCTAGCAAAGGGCTAACAATCTGTCAGTTTGAAATGGGAAACAAGTTGTGCTCTTGGGTGATGCTGTCCTCCCATAGCCAGTGCTGGTGATGCAGAACTCGAGGTAGGCTCTCAGGGGTAGATAACTCCTCTCCTGGCTGCTCTGAGTTTATGCAAGAGGCACACAGATGTTCACAGCTTGAATTTCTGTCTCTTCACATGATGACTAGTAATGATCTTGGGACTGCCATTGAGTGCTGTAAAGGTGGTAGCAAGTGAATTGACTCTTTCAAAGCGAGTAATGATCGAGTGTAATAGCAGGGCACAGTCATGGAAACTGGTATGGAGTAAGCGTATATGTGTTAATCTATGTAGATTAAAGTAACCCCTGGATTAATAGCTGTTGTTCAGTCACTGACAGTAGTTATTGCAATAATGCTCTAGACTCTCCTTTACTTTTTCTGTTTTTTGCAGATAGAGAGGTTCCCTTGAATAGGGTTGGATTTAGAGATTAGTGATATGAAGATGACCATTGATATGGTGTGACAGCCCTTTCAGATATTCGTTATGTCAAGCCCTGTTTGGTGCGTGGGGTTCAGCCGACAGGAATATGAAAATAGATTCATTACTGAGTCTGCTGGGAAAGGATTTAGTTATGATACTCTGCCTGGATCAGTCAGTGCCTGTCTGAAACGCACCCCATGGCAGCTATAGGTCCTCATTTGGGGCCTCCCTGATCTTGACTTGGAAGAAAGCTTCATGGTAGACAAGTGTGCTACTTAGCAAGGAAATAAATTTGCCTCTTGTCCCACAGGACTGAGAAGCCCCCTTCACAGTATCTCTCAGAGAGTACACACCTTGGCACTACAGCTACTGTGTAAGGAGCATCAGCTAGGATTGCATTCCCATTCTGTTGGGGTCCAGGAAAGATATTTAGGGTTTCTCTGAGTTCTTTTAATGATTGATTTCAAGAACTTCAGAAGATCAATGAACATAAAACAACAGAATTCCATAAATTGTCAAATAATGTTTGCTAAAATAATGTTAAGCTCTTCTGCCAAATCTTAGAAATTCTTTAAGTACTAAACATACATTTGACAGGAAATCTACTAGATTTCCTAACAGCATAGGCAATTTCATTTCACTTTAACAGGAAGTAGTGGAACTCAGATATCAGGTAAATGCTAGTTAATTATATCTGGTTTTAATTAGGTGAGAAAGTTCCTATGGTAAGGTGAGTCTTTATAAGATGCTGAGTAAATATGTGATTATTTGAATTGAGAAAGATTTAAGTTATACAAAAAATGAAAGAACTAAAACCTTTTGTATATTTTTATTGAGTTCATATTAGCAGGAAAAAACAAGAGATTTATTGTCTTTTGGCATGATACTACTCAGAGGTGGCTCAGGAAATCTAATGTAGAAAAGATTGGATCCTAAACTACTGAAGGATTTACAGTTGACAATTACAGAATTAAAATGCTCTCCTTGGCTTTAGCGTTTACGAAGACGAGTGAAGAAAACTCTTCAGAATGACTCAGAGTCTGCCATATGTGGGCTGCCTGCTCCAAGAAACCATCATTTTACTGGTGTTGTTATGTATTTTCATCTGTGCTAGGATTTAAATGGACACGGTTTGGTCCCAGTTGGTTAGTTCCGTTGCACACTATTAAGTCAGGCTGACACCAATATATACCTTAAATACCTTTTGATTCTTCCTCATCTTTGCTGAGCAGGGCCATTTTTGAGTGTATGCTGTTCTAAATGCCACAACTCTGTGGTCGATCTTTAGGTTGAAAATATTTGTTAGTAATGCCTAAAGTGAGAGGTATTTTGAGATGCACAAAAGCATTTAAGTACAACTAGTATACTGTTACTGATTATTCGCAGAACTCTTGATCCCATTTAGGGTACAGTAGGAGAAGGCATGGTAAAATAAAAGCCATTTTGAAGTGTGCTGAAGTCAAAGGCAAGATGAATATCATTGAACCCTCTCAGTTCTAACTCATATTCAAGTTTTCAGTGGTTACCTAACACATTTCCAATGTACATTCTCCTTGAAGTGTCCTTTGTTATAACAGAGACTGATGGAGGACCAGAGTTTGCAAAAGGAAAGAGACTCTCTGGAGCCAGGGATTCATACTGCTCAAAATCAAGATGACCCTAATGATGGTTTTCATTGCTCATATGAGTCCATTTTGATTGCACTCATTCTGCAAGCTAGACCAGCACTGCAGTGACCCTCGAACTGGGGACTCCTTCAGGTAGATGAGCTAGGCCAGGGTGTGGGCTCCTATGATTGCAAGTAAATCATTACCAGTAATGAATTAAGCTTATTAATACGACAGTATCTCTGTAAGAAAATGGTGGTTGTATGTGCCTCACTATCTGCTTGTGACTGGAAATGTGCAGAGCATTGAGAAAGAGGTTTTCAGTGTGCTGAGTTTGTTTTTTCCACTCAAGTCCTCTTCATGTGCATACTATGTGCATGGCCTCTCTTTGAAGCATACACTTCTATACTGAGATCAGGAAGGATTTTAGCCTTCAAACAATCTGAATGTAGAAAATGTAGATTGGAGCCAGGCACTATGTGGGTGAGAAGTGAGTAAGGGCTTCCCATCTATCTCTACAAATACCCCTCAGCTCCAATACTGTCAGTCCCTCTGTTCCCACTGTGAGCCCCTTCTCAGCTCTGCTAATACATTGCAACTGGAGTGTAGGCACAGAAGCAATGTACTGTGGAACAAATGGAAGCTATTGCCTTCACTTTTAAGCCACTGTGGTAAATATTTTCATTTCTTATTGTGCTTAGGCATCAGATCCTGCAATAGGAGCAGGTCATGTATTACATTTCTGAACTCAATGAAAAGGGTTTTGATAATTTATTGAAAGCATTTTTCTAATTGTTTTGCAAAGATAGTTTCCCCTCTTTTTTTTCCATTGCTCTCTCCAAGACTGAAAAATTAAAATACATTCAGTGTTGAAAGAACTGTGAAGGATAAATGTGGAAGGGACATTTCCCCATAAGGATTCATCTGTCTGCATGGTGTTTATGAGTATGACCTGCTAGTACACTTGGGCTGCAGCCATATCTCCATACATCTCACTAAGCAACACAGCTGCTGACTGCCTCAAGCACTGACATTTACAGAGTGTGTATCATCCAGTTATTGCTTCACATCCCTCCAGACAGTCTTGATCATCAGCTAATTAAAGGGTATGGCCTTTTCTGCACTCTTCCTTGGAGCTTCTGTTTAGTGAACACAGCTTCCCATTGGTGACGTGTTTATTACATATCTGAATTTTACTTTGCAACATGACTGTGACTTACTTTCTATCTGAATAAACTGAGTATCAGAGACATGGAAAGCTGCTTGGTAGAAAAGGTGGCTTATCTCATGGTGGGGTGCACCTTGACACTGTCTAGGGCCCACTTAAAGTCAGATAGTCCACAATTTTTAGTGTTAGGCTAGGTTTTCAATCTGCCTCTGGAAGTAGTCAGCCTCTTCTGCTTCCCTCTTTCAGCACAGGTAACCTCAATGCATCTTTGGATTTTCTTCTCTGGGTACATGCCCTGCTATCAAATGTCATGCAAGATCTCAAAAATGTTCTGGAGCCTAGAAAAATACAGAAATACAAAAATACAACTGTGTTGATCATCCTCCTGAAGAGGGTTTAGCAAAGGTCCTCCAGCCAATTTCTTACTAGCTAGTTGTTCTGCTAGCACATTACCTCTGGCGAGGAAAAGCGTAATCTCTTGTAATCCAGGAAAACAGCTACACTTCTGAGGTTTACTGCATTACTTGTGCTAATTTGCTGATGAGTACTAGTATATTTATGTGAAAAAATAAATACATGGTTATTAGAGAGAATCTGTGAGAGAAGACAGGAGAGATGGAAGGAAGGGAGGGGCATCCTTTTTCAGTCCAATTCAATGGGAAACTCAGAGAAACAGAGCCACACAAAATTCTATCTGAATCCCCATTTGCAAATACCTGTCTTGAGCGTGATGCCTATAGCAGTGACATCTCTCAGTGTAGGTAGTCAGAGATGAGATGGACACAGCACAGGTGAGGGAGAAAGAGGGTTCAGTAACAATCTAAGCAAAAGTGTGGGGAGAAAGAGCCAGTGCACAAGAACTTGGTGGAGGAGGCAGGATTGTTCTGGTAGATAAATATTAGGAACTTCATTATAAACCAAGAAGTCAACCGCATTTTTAAAGCAATGGGGCCAGATTCTCCCTTGCTGTTGTAGCTATTGTTTGAGTATATTGTGAAGCAAGTGAAAAGTATTACGTGGTAGCATTTTATGTTTTGAGTAAAAACAGTACAAGAAATGAGCATGAGCTGGAGTTTACTGCAATGTACATAAAGGACTTTTTATTTTTAGAAACATCCAATGTGTTACACGTTACTCAGCACAGGCAAAGACTCTTGACACCGCTAGCCAAAATGATCAATGGGAAGATGAACTCAGAGGCTACAGGAGCAGCTACCTTTCGCAAAGGAGATCGAGTATGGGTTCTTTCCATGAGACAGCTTCTTTTCCATAGAAAATCTAACATTACTGATGATGGACAATGTAATTTAATGGGTTCAAAGAAGCATGGCTGAGATTGATTTATTAAGCGGGAGCTGCCAGGTGGTTCGTGACAGGTTTACTGAGTCCAATGAGCAATTAGCCAGGGATGACACAGAACATGGAAATTGCATGTTTGGTATTTCATTCAAATAGAGTGTTTGGAATTGAAGCCTTTTTCCAATCAGAACTGTTGACCACTTTGGCTAGTGAGCTACTGATCCTATTTATAGAGCCTTCTGAACATTGCCCATGAGTAAAATTCAGTGTTGAGAAGTTCATTTTAAATTAAGAGATATATTACTATAGCACATAAAAATATAGGAGAAAACAACACTTCAACGACAACAGTAGAAACAAAGAACACCATCACTATAGCATCCCCATGCTGCTGGTTCCGTATCACTCCAAGGAATTTCACACTAATATTTTGATGCCTTTTGATGGGGACAGAGAAGAGGTTTTATAGGATTTCTTTAAGAAATTTGATACTTGAAGTGAAACCAAGACCACCTATTCTGCAGTCTTGCATACTCAAATCCAGACAAAAACCCATGAGAGCAGTTCCACAGAGGTGTAGATCACAGGACTGAAGCAGCTGGGATAGATTTTTTTTTTTTTTTTTCAAACTTCCAATAATGGCCTGGTTTTTTCACCCACTGTTCTGTTTTGGTGTTAACAATAGAGTTGAAGTGATAACGAGTTCTTTTGGAAACACAACCTTGTAAAAACAAGTCATTGCCAAACTCTTCCTAATGATGAATCAGGAATTGGCTCAAACTATCTCACCCTCTCTTTTCAAATAGCTCATGTTCTTCCCATCTGCACCTATCACCACAAACACCAATAGTTTTTCTCTAACTGCTAGCAATTTTCTGAATTGGTAAGTGTCTGGTTTCTTCTAATTAGGTCTGTTTCTGCCCAGTAAACTTTGAATCCTATAGGAAAAAGGTGTGAAGCTTTATCAGTTTAGTTTTATGTGGAAGAAGTATTTAAAGAAGTCAGACACCATGGCAAGGAAGCCAGTGGCTCTTATCATGCATAATTTTTTTTCCTACTAAGCAACATTTTGGTTTGTTCAAAGCAAGATTTGTTTGTTTGTTTACAGTAAATACCTGTCACATAGCAACAAATATTACTAAATAATAATACATATAATGTTAAGCTCCTGGGTCTAGAAGCTTTTCATGAAAAAAAACACATTCCTGATAAAAAATAATAAATAATGTCACCTTTTCTTTTTACATTAAAAATATCTGTACATGATTACACAATATAACAAAGTACAATTTTATTTTCTAGGCTCAGGGTGGCATCTCTGGGTTAGATCTTTATCTAAAAAGGGTAGAGGCTTGTAGTCTTGATCCTGCATATTTCTTACTGCATTTTCACAAAGTTATGAAGTCTACAGCCTTGTCTACCCTTTCCATGCAAAGATGGAAGCAGCTCACAAGGAACATAGCAACATCTACATGCAGGAAGCAGCTAAGTACTGAGATTTTTGCAGATGTGCATATGGTGATATTTGAAAGTCTTGAAACTTCTTGCCTCAACTGGAAGAGAACAGAAACAAATAGAAAAATAAAGATGGAAAATGTAAGTAGAAGTCTGCCTTTCCAATGTAGCTAGAAAAGTTTTTTTGGATGGTATATTTTTCAAGATGGCACTTAGTGATCTATTACAGACTGAGTCTCTCTTGGCCAACATTTCTTCTTGGTAAGAATGCCCAAAGTTTGCTCAGATGAGGACAGCACTGGCAGTTTGCCTGGGGTTTGAGGGCCACATCCCATTCGTTGGCCTTCAAATGGCAGAGGTTGGCCACTGTTTTTTAGAAATTGAGCTGGATTGAAGCACCACTTGCAGGACCTTCTGTTAGTGGTGAAAAGTCTCTGTAGGTCCCACTCCAGCTTGTCAGGCACTATGTACACCCTATGAGTCTTCTATCAATGAACTTGCCCAGGAACCACAAGAAAAGCATTTACAAAGAAAGCTCTGAAGGGTAGGGTGAATCAGCAGCTCATGCTGACCTTTCAACAGTAACTATAATCAAATGGCAAACGTTTCCTCTTATTTTGCTAAATAAAAAGTAGTGCTGTTTCTTTCCTGACAGCAGCTGGTCACCGGCAGGCAGGATCTGGTGCAGATCAAGCAGGCATTTAGTCTCACATCATGTAAGGGCTCTAGCCAGAACTTGTAATCTTTAAGATCATGATATCACAGGACACAGAGGTGGCTTGTACACAGATGGCAGCTGGAAAGGAATAACAGAAGTCCTTGCACTGGTGGTTTGTATCTGTGTTGTTTCCTTACGTTGACAGAAATCAGCTCACTCGTGGAGTAAGGCTCTGACAGTCGTATAATCCTGCTGTCCTTGCAGATACAGGAAAGTCTCCAGAGCTGTTTGGCTCATGTACCTTCCTGTGCCCCCATCATGCAGCTGGACATTCATATGAAGTCAGTGCAGGAGGCACCATGACAATGCAGATGAATGAGTCTTCATAAAGTCCTGCTGTCCATGAATCCTTTGGGTATCCTAAAAAGAATCTCTTCCTTCAGCTGAGCCATTCCTCTTCTAGGGCTGTGACTAGAAACAGGACTCTTGGGATTCAGGGTCATTGTGGATGGGAAGCTTCTCATGTTCCTGATGATGCCCATTACGTAAAACAGCGTACCTGGGAGTGGAAAAACATAAAGATTTGTTAGTGCTAGTTAAAAGGACATGATTATGTAAAATGAAATCTTGAAAACTCCAAAGTACATCTTAAGACAGTACTTCTTGCAAATATCTAGATCCAACATTAAGCAAACGTGAATCCCTACTTTGCTCCATAACAGGAAACCAAATATTGCATTTGATGCAGTCAAGGCAATCCCTGAAAATCAAGAACCTGTTCGTTTTCATGTATCTAAGGTGCAGCTGGTAATGAGAGAAGCCAGACCAAAGAACTAAGAAACACTGATCATCTGTGGGTGGACTAACCTGAAGGTACTTCAGTTAGTCTTCAATGCAAGCATTTAAAGAATCATTTGAGACCAGCTTAGGAAGTGAATGCTGTTTAAGATGAAACCAAGACCAACATTTCAGGGCATTTCCACTTATAAAAGAAAGTAGTCTTTTGCAAAGTTGGGTTTAGTGCCAATTCTAGTATCAAACCACTGCTGTTTAGGTTTTATGTCCTTTGGAGGTATCATGTCATGTATATACCTTTCTGATATTTCTCAAGGCTTTGGGCCAGATATGGAAAAGCAGAATTCAGTTGTGAGGAATTCCACATTATCTCTTGTCCTGTGCCTCATCTACCAGCCTATTTCCTGCTGCCCATCTCAACATGGCTTTCTGAACAGAACTGTTGATTTAGTTTGCTGATGACATGTCACTCTTTTCCCTAAGTGGTGTGCAGTGCTCAGTAGGAATAAGCAAATCTGAGGTGACAGCAAAAATGTCGGCTAACAAGTAACACTGATTTAACATATCTTTCTAGAATTTCACATTTAATCATTCTTGCCTGCAAACCCCCTGAAGGGTACAGTGCAAATCAGGTATCTTGCCTTGGCAGGCTGTTTCATTTAAACTAAACTGAACCAAATCATCCTTCAAGTAGGCCCAGAAGTAGGAAGCTGCAAAAATAACTGTAAAAACGTATTTTTCCCTAGTCCAAATGCATATCACGGAAATCAGGTCTCTGCTAAGACTTTCCTCTCCTGAGTGTTTAGAGATGTAGATATATTATTTCTCTTAGTAACAAATATCCAAGACATACCGGAAATATCCACATCTCAATTAAGATTAAAAAAAAAGAAAAAAGCCTAAGTAAATAGAATAATATATCAGTTGTCCTGCTATTAGCAGAGGGAAAAGAAGCACTATCAGCCTCAGGATTTGTTTGAATAATCATTAGGGAAAAGGTCAGGAATTCCTCATTGTCTACATATTCAAAAACTGATACTATTACATCAATTTACTTGGCATTATTAATCTGGATGCATCTCTTTCTCCATTGAGTATACCTGGGAATTAGGCTCCTAATTAAGGTGCTTACAGTGCCACCGAAATGTCTGAAGTAGATGTCTGAATATCCTACAAGTGATATATCTGTTAATTCCAGTAGATCAGCCAGGCATGGACTCAAAATGAAACCAGGGTGTAAACTGCACTGCCTGTCTGAATTTGCCCTGGTGAATATTCCTGGAGCAATTTACCCTCTAATGTACTAGATTCTGGTTTTCAACATGGTCGGGCTCGATTGCCTTAATACAGGTCACTATATGTCCATCACATTAAATAATGATCATAAATTTCAAAAAATGTGCTAGTTCTACCAACAAGATACAGACTTGATGTAAGAAACAAGAAAAGACATTTTGCATCTAACACTGAACAGACACTCCAGTTAGATGACCATGAGGCATACAGGTAATAATGTAATTTTAATTTCATATACCAGGTAAGACATGGCATGTTGTGTGATGCAATCCACCAAAGAGACCTTTAGCAGGGCAAAGTCTCTGCTACAAATGGTGATACAAGGATGAGAGCCAGGAGACACCCCGCTCTGTGAACAAGGCAGACACAGTTCAGAGCAACTTGGGACTTGCTCAGAAGCACAACAGACAGGCACTGAAAGCTGACTTCATACAGGATATCCAAGGAGCCAAACCTTTCTTCTTCTTCTGCAGTAGTCAGAAAACAGTTGTGCAAGATCAGCAATTTAGCAGGTGATGCCGTTTGTTACAAAGATGCATTAAGCTAAGGAGAAGTCATTAAGGTGTCCCAGGATCTCTTGTGGCACAAAGTGTCTGAAGCGTCTGGCAGTTAGCTCAGCACTTCCAGCTGTTTACCCTGTGGGGAAAGAGGACGGTAGGAGAGGAGGAAAGAGCATTTGTAGGCAGGGTGCGAAAGCTGCACCGCAGGGGTGATGGCTTGCTCTGGTACTGACACATCATTCCTAAAAGTCTTACCAACATCTCCAGGAAACTGTTAAAGGAGTGCTCTGCTGGCAGGCCTTTGTGTTACCAGGATTGTTTTCACATATTGTAGCTTTTCCCTTCAAATGAAAGTTCAAAGCTACCTGACATTTACAGGGCACCAGTTTAGTGTTGGATAAAAGACAGGATTATAACAGCCCTCCTTTTTTTTTTTCACATCACCCTGTCTTAAATGATCTGCTCTCTGAAAATACAATTAAGTTTTTAGTCATCAGTATCTATGTGGAGCAAGTTTCAGCTGCACCTGAAACTCGTTTTTGCCTCACCTACAGGAATGCACACCTATTGTGCCTCAGCTCTCACCCAGCAGAGAAGTCAAGCACTGTGGGATTTATTTTACCGACTGCAAGAAGAAAACAACACCCGGACCCTGCTTGTGTGGGCTGAATGTTTCAAGATAAATTTATCAAGAGAAAATATTAAGTAGGTTTGAGTAATGAATACATTTGAGGAAGTCATAGTATGTGAGCAGGAAAAAAAAAAAAATTAAAATGTTTAAATGCATTAAATAAATTACCTGCAACAAATTAGTTGCTCAGCTTTCCTGCCTATAATGAGTTCCCTCGTTGGAATCTGTATACGCTGGCACATCAGGCTACAAAGCTCAATTACAAATAGCATCCCAGGCTGCCTCTGCCCTCTGTATCCGACTCCTCCTAGAACTGGGGGCGAGTGTTACTGTCGTTTCACCTGACAGCTTTACTCAGAATCATAAACACCACCACCCAGTAATAAAGCCCAATAATGAAAATGTATTACCACCTATAAAGGGACCATGCTGCAGGCTATTCACATACTTGCCAAATGGTATTTTAATTGTGATGATGACCAATTTGGAGATAATTGCTTCTGCATCTCCTGCTGTTTCTGACAGTCCAATGGACTCTTTAATTAACTGGTTTGATTAGCTCTCAGCACAGTGGAGGGGAGCTGTGTGGTTTTACCCTCCATGGGTCCATGACCAGAACAAGTTGCTCCAGCATTATTCTGGGAAATTAGCAAGAGCTGGGGTGCAAACACCAAGGGGCGACAGTGGCTGTTTGTAATCTTCCCATTTTCATTCCCTGCAGAGCTATCCCCCATACCAACTTGTATGCAATTTATTAAGGAAGCAAAGCTGAAAAATTGCTGGTCTTTGGCTTCTCCAACCCTAATGAAAAACAGTCACCATTTTCATAGAGCCTGAGGCCTCTGCTTAGTCCTCTCCTGATGAGAAAGACCCCAGCATCCACCTCTGTCCCCCAGGATCATGCCTGTCTGGCTAAAAAGCAGAAAGCCGTGCAATTTTGGGGCAGGGTTCCTGGCTCTGAACACAAAAGCTAACTACATCCATTTCCTTGACAGAGCATGACCCAGGAGGAAGGGAAGCAATACTCTGATGGTATGTCAGCCATCCCTCTATCAGAGCTTGCAGCCACCTGTCCAGTTTCCAGAAGGGAGCCTCTCTGGAGATGGTGCCTGGGGTCCTTTGGGCAGTGGGGGACAGGAATTGGAAGGCATCTGCTTTATCCCAGAAATGCCTCCTACGAATCTTTCATGCTTGCAGTATCTGTGTAAAGCTGCCTACACTGGTTACACATGCCCACGGCTCCTCTGCACCAGCAGAAGTGCCTGGGAAGCACAGCTTACAGTTCTGCAGCTGTTTTACCCATTAATTACTCCCCTGGTTTTTACCCATAGTCCTTGCTCTGAATACTCTTATCTGTCCTTCTTCCTTAAGCTCCCTGCAAACTCGAGTTCATCAGCCTGAGGCAGTTAATCCTGGTGGCTGCTGTGAAGGGCAAGGAACCCATTGCAGGTACTCTGTGAGGGTTTGGATCACATTAGTAGATACTTCTCATTAATAACAAACTGGCAGAGAGCAAAGACAGCCTTTTCCCAGCTACAGCTGAATCACTAATGGGCTAAAGGAATTGTGTGGCAGCATCTCCTGCACTTTTCAAAGCCTCTGAAGAGTGGGCTTAGTGTTCCCTCAGTACCCTCCATCTCTTTAACCCTGTCAGGTGAAATAATTTTACCTAGAGTGTCACAATAATAGCAGAGAAATAAAGAATAAAATAAATGCCCACAACTGTCCAAGCATGGTGAACCTTTAGCCAGGCTGAAGGCAGATTAGCAGAGGAAGCCACTGTAGATGCACAGCTGTCTTGGCTCTCTGATTAGTAATCCTTTCCCAATACACCTGTTTACATTGCTTCCATTTTTGAACTGGCAGAAAGTGGTTCCTCTTGTCCTGACATTCACTGGAGATGGAGGTGAGGTTTTGCAGCTGTCCCTGGACTGGGTGGGGAAGGGTTTGCTTTTGTGTGGGGTGGGGGGATACTGGGAGCTGTTAACTCTCTGCTCCCTGGGACTTTTGCCACCTAAATCCACTCCCCCTCTGCCCAGAAAATGAAGGACATATTGTCACCAGGTAGAGAAGAGATTTTGCACATGCATTCAGACACTGAGAGGTCAATGTTGGGGCAGAAGTAGGTGGATGGGTGCATTTATGGTAATATGTCTGTTACTGGTACTGCCAGGATGCCTCGCATCGCGTCTCAGCTGGCTACACAAATGGCTGGAAAGTCTGGGTTAGTTTACACATGAACTCTGCAAAAAGCCGATAAGCACCAAGTGTCATAGTATTTGCAAATCTTTTTGATATCTCTATATTATAAATGTGAAATAGTTACTGCCAGAGTTT